TGAAATGAGGTTGTTACATCACATCATTACTCACAACATTATTCCACACTCCGGCCACTTTGGTGTCGTCACCTATGGCCACACTTACCTCATTTGGGCCCTATCCATTGATTTTCTTACTGATTTCGATTTTTTGGTTGTTCACTATATCAAAAATGCTCATAAACAAAATAATCAAACCCTTCCCTATGGAATGATTTTCAAACACTTCAAAATTGATCTTAAGGGAGAAGAAGAAGTCCCTCGAGAACCCTCTTGTTATAGGGCCGAAACTCTGAGAAATATGGGATATTCTCTGATCAACAACATCTGGACCAAGACCAAGAAAACTAGTTCTTCCCCTGGTCTCTCTAGTCCTGGTCTCTTTACCCTTGGCTCTTTCTTTCCCAATCCTACCCTTCCTTTCTCCACCCTTGGTCCTTTTACTCCACCACCTCATTCTGACCTCTCATCTCTCTAAAAAATAAAAAATCGACCATCTTGATTTCATGGTTCAAGGTCCCTTGTTGGATGAGATTGCTTCAATCAATTCAAGGCTTAACAATTTAAACCTAGATTCCTAATCCATCCCTGCCTAAGACATTCCATCATCCTCTTACTCTGTCCCTGCCTCATCATCCTCTGCTTTGGAACAAAAAGTGGATGAGTTGGTCTCCTTGGTTTTACAACTTATCTCTCAACAGACTGAAATGCAAAATGACATTGATCGCATGAAGCTACAGCAAGCTTGAGTCATTGAAGCTACTAAAGAGAGTATAGAAAGTATAGTGATTGCAGTCTATGGGATCAAGGACTCCAACAAAGAATTCCGTCAAATCTTCCAACAGCACTGCGATGATGATCTGGGTGAACAAATTCGAAAGTTCATGCTATGGTTTGCCCAAGGTTGGCGCGAAGCTGCAGCACATTGGCCTCGAACTCCTCCTTCATTTCGTTGATGCTCTGACCCCCTATTTTTGTTGATGATAAATAGGGAGAAATTGTTGTAGTTGGCTCTAATTGTAGTTGGTTAGTTGGATGATAAATGTATATGGATGTCGATGTCTTGGTAAAAATACTTTTTGGGTACAAACTTTTGGGAAACACAAATTGGGAAGTAAATGAAGTATATGTCTTGGCAATTTAGATACATTATGAAAACTTCTTTATATATATGAATCTTGATGAATTCTCCTTGAATGATATGAAATATGTTGATATACATTATGAAAACTTCTTTATATATATGAATCTTGATAAATTCTTCTTGCATGATATGAAACATGTTGATATTGGTTCTTTAGTGTTGGTTGTGATTGGTTATGAATATCTATCAACAACACTCACAGTTATGGAAATTATTTTTTTGCTTTAAAGTACTTCTGATTTCATTCAATGAAAATAAATTGAAGAAATTGATTTTACTAATGATTGCTTCAGTGGATATTGATAGGGGGAGCTTGTTCTGTATCAAGTTGTTTTATTGTCTTGATATATATATTTCTCATTATTTTTGTTTTGGCCTTGAAGCCCTTTTTATAGGGGGAGTTTTCCATCTCATTTTTCAAATCCTTTATTTACAAAACTCCTTGAAAAACACTTTTTAATGCATTCCTTTTGAAACTTATACTTTGAAAACTTTAAATATTTGTCATCATAAAAAAAGGGGAGATTGTTAGCCCCAAGGTTATTCAACTTTAAAATTCTTATTGATTTTGATTATTGACAAATAGTTAGAATTCATTTTATTATTCATGTTTTCAAAATAGTAGTATTCAAATTGTGCTTTAGTGTTTCTAGAAGATTTATGATTCTAGAGTGTTGTTTTTCAATGGTTTTTAACCCCTCAAAACATGATATTAGCTCTTGTTTGCAAAATTCTATTTATCATGGAAACATGTCTAAGGGTCGACACTAAAACAACAAGGGTCAACACCAAAGTGAAGCTCAAAATGTTTAAGTGTTTCAGAAGCAAGGGTCGACACCAAGACAGCAAAGGTCGACACTAAATTTTAGTATGCAATCCAACAATAAGGGTCGACGCCAAGACAGAAAAGGTTGACATTAAATTTCAGTGTGCAATCTAATAACAAGGGTCAACACTAAGAATAACAAGGGTCGACACTAAATTTCAAAATGCAATCCAGCAACAAGGGTCGACACCAAGAATGATAAGGGTAGACACCAGGAACACCTGAAACTCAACTCAGAGAAAAGAAGAAAGCAAAGGGTCGACACCCAATCTACAGGGGTCGACACCTGTAAATCCGGGTTTAAAAAGTCCCACCTGCCAAATCAGATCTAAACTAACACAGATCATTTCTCAACCACTTTTTCTGATCCATGTGCAGAATATGTCATCTTTTTTAATCCTTGAGTAGATCTGGCACCATATCCTCTCCAAGAAGTTGTCCTATGAAGGAGAGCATTAAATGAAAAGCTTATGCATTTAATGATCTTTCTCTTCTCAAGACCTGTCTATAATCTGTCTTCTCCATACTCTGACCAAACACGGCTAGAAGATATTTTTCATGATTTGCTCCAACGGCTAGAATATGTGTCTCTACCTCTCTCCAACAGCTAGAAGGCATTATTGCTATAAAGAAGAAGCTCTCCTTGTTCGTATTACACACTTCTTCAATACAACAAACCTAGAGCATTCAAGAGCAATCAAGAGCTTTTGATATACTCCATTGTACTTCCATTTTCACATCTGAGTGAGTCTTAAATTACTTGTGAGCTTACACTTTCATATCCATCTTTTGAGAGAGAATATTTGTAAAAGAGAATAGTTATGCCTCTTATTACTGTTCCTTATTTTCTGAGTGAAACACTTGTAAAGGGAGGCATTTAGTTAGGAGGTCCTCAACAGATTGAAGTCAGTCCTTGTAAAAATCCACAAGCTAGCTAGGTGAAGCTTGATGGTGCACTTATCAAATTCATAGTAAAGAAATTCTCAAGAAAGTTTTTCGAGGAGTGAACGTAGGCTGGTAAGCCGAACCACTATAAATCATTGTGTTGTGATCTTCCTTCTTTCTCTTTTATTTTTTGTGTATTCATTGACTGTCATCTGCATTTAATCCTTAGTCATTTGAATCTATTTTCTGATCAAAATTTTAATAACCCAATTCACTCCCCTCTTGGGTTGCTTTTCTGTGTAACAAAAAATGTCGTAGAATGTACTAACAGCTTAGAGATGACAATCTTTAAACCCACCAAAGTTACAACTCTATCCTCAAATGGCTTACTAAACGATATATATATATGGCAGAATGCCTAACCAGATATAACAATGTCTAATTTTAGTAGTTTCAATGACACTTGCATTGGAAGTGAGGTCTTTTGACTTAATAGTTGTGTAACACCACTTTATAGTGTAAATTTGCTGATTCAAATCTTATGAACAAGAATTTGATACTCATTGTGTTGCCTCATTCCCCTACTAATATTTAAGAACTAGCTCCTTATGATATGGGTTTGGCTTTTATTAAGCTGTCATTTCAATTTTAAAAAGCGTTTAGGTTTGGTAGGTTCATTGTTTGACCGATTTCAGTGCTGAACCATTTACTTTTTAGGACTTATTGAGTGAAATATTCATATGAAAAATAAGATGACTGAATATCTGTGGTTGTATACTTGAATCATATTTGTTTTTAAAAAATAGACGACAAATATAATTTTAAAAATAACCATCCATTTTTTGTAATACAAATTTAATTCAAATATATAGTTACTGATATCTGATCATTTTGATTTCTCATATGAATATTCTACTTAACAAATGTTAAAAAGTGAACGGTTTGGATCACCAAAATGGACTTACCAAGCTCAATCGCTCTCTTAAGTTGAGATGGCTAACATGAGAGAAGCTCAACCTTTGATATATAATGTGTAGAAAAAAAAAAAAATGCATTTTTAGTCGTTTTCTACTGCTCAAGTTACTTTGCTGTCAGGGTCAGTCTCACATAGAAGGGGCGAAAATATATATACTAATAAAATTTTTAAATAAAAAGTATAAATTGTAATATCAATTTTACACTGACATATAAAAAGCAAAAAGAAGTTTTAAACATATACAAATAAACATTTTAATTTTACCCATATTGAAAAAGATAGCAATTATAAAAATAATTTACTAATGCTGTGTTTGGTTGGAGTTTTTGAGGTGGGATTTGGAAAAGGAATGAGAAATGTAATCCTATTTATGTTTGGTTATAATAAAAAATATATGGGAAAAGAAAGGGGGTGAGAAATAAATAAAGAAATAGGATACCTTTTAGGACATCAATTCTATTTTATAACCAACACAACCAAACATAGTTGGGATTTGAAATTCTATTAATTCTTTCTCCTTTTCCTTTCATTTCCATTTCCCTTTCCATTTCCCTTCCTAAATCCCCCAACCAAACACAGCGTTAAGTGAGGTATTTTCAAAAAAAAAATTTCATGGCTTGCATTTTTGGCTCACAATTAATTTCAATATTCATTACAATGAAGGTTGCATTTCTTGGATGCTTTGATGCCCTGAATCCATTTTTTCTTATCCACTCACTTTGATGTCAAACTACTTTGCAAAAGGTCGGTGGTCAGCAAAGATGGTGAAGTTGCTAAAGAAGAGGTTGGGTGGGGTTCAGGCTGGGAGTCCCTACAAGTCTTTCCCTCTCCCACACGGGTTTCACCACCAGCAGAGTCAGTCCACTGGCTAGCTCGGCAAAGGCTCGTAAGAACCGAGTTGTGCCGAACATAGTGCCATAAACCTTTTCCATCTATAAACTTTTCTTTCACAACTGTTTTATTCCTAAATTGCCCTGCAACTTCCACACTTTTTTTAAATTTTATATTTCAATCTTTAATAACTCATTCAGCTTTCCTTTTCTCCTCATCTAAATAATTTTTGATCAACCATTTGATTTTCATAGCACACCTAGTGTATTTTATGCTTACAAAGTATGGCAAAGCAACTAACATATTCAGTGTACACACCAAAACCCAACAAATTAACAGCTCTGCTGCGCTATGAATTTGATCACAAGCAAAATTTATATATTGCCAAATAGTTGAGCAGATTGCTGATCTGAAAATATCATTTTTTTATATAAGTTCGTTCTTGATCCAAGACAACGAAGAGAGACAGAGACAACGAGGTGGTGTCTCATCTTCTCCTTGCTAGACAACAGCATTTTATTTCTGATATAACTAAACTGCAAAAATATATTATGAATTACCCCCTTCCAGTCTCCAGCACATATTTATTGTATCAAGTTGCTGATGATCAAACAGACATCGTCATCCAATTTACCACATACACCTCACAGCTTCAACATTGCATAGTCCATCACACCCACAAGAAAATCTACAAGTAGTACAAAATGGGCAAATCAGAAGGATCATTAAATCAGGAAGGAGGAGGAGGAGGAGGAGGAGGAGGAGGAGGAGACATACCAGCATCTTCTTTGGTGAAGCAGAGGGGGGGAGTAATCCTAAACACATTCCCATGAAACCCGCCTTTCCCAATCAGCACTCCCATTTCTTAAACAACAATTAAAAATGTCAGTCACAATATACAGAGACAAAAAGACTGTCTATTAATTAGAAATTAGAATTTTCACACACACACACACCGACCTTTCATCTGTTCCATTATATGCACAGTTTCAGCCTTGGCTGGAGTTTTTAACTCACGATCAGTTACAAGTTCAATCCCTAGCATCAAACCTCGTCCCCTGACATCCCCAATAACTGCAGAAACATGTAAAGATGAGTCATACCAGTCAAAAGCTACCTTTAGATATTTTGATAGTATTTGTTTGATTTTTTATTTATTCTTTTTTTTGAGACAGTGTTTGGTTTGTGTTTGAAGAGTAGTTTTTGAGATAAAAAGTACGAAAACTTGTTTGGTTTGTCTTTTTTCAGAAATAGTTTTGGAAAATTGTTTTGGGGAGAGAGTTTTAAAAAAAAGTGATTGATTTGATATGTATGAGAGAGAGAGTAATTTTAGAAAGTAGGTAACCAAACAAAATTTTGAAATTTTTTTTGAAAAAATTTGTTTGGCTTGATTACTCTTGAAAATTTGCTTGTAGAGAATTTTTCTCAAAAATTTTTCTGAAAAACAAACCAAACAGGGCCATAGTGTCTATATTTGTATATGGCATAAAAAAGGTTCAAACCCATATCGACCATGAACTTCATGATCAGTATCACCATATATAGATTTGAGATGAATAGTTCAGATTCCGTAACATCAGAATGCGAGGGAACATACTTTCATGCTTTTCTTTAAGGGATGTCAGACGCTCTTTCAGATATGATCCCACAGCGAATGCATTCTCTTGAAGCTTTTCTTTCTCAAGTACTCTCAGAACAGCTAGCCCACCAGCAGTACTCACAGGATTCCCTCCGAAGGTATTAAAATAGCAACGATAAGTCAACACCTTTGCAATCTCAGGAGTAGTTACCACCGCACCAAGGGGAAGGCCATTTCCAATGCCCTGAGAAACCATGGGGGGGGGAACTCAAAACTTGAAAAGCTAAAAAGGCAGGCCAAGCATACGAAAAAATAGAATTGTTTGTGGCAGTCACATGGTGCCCTTCAGATGTCTTCTCATAATATTAGATATAATAATTTGAAAATTTAAAAAGTAAAATGCAAGTTTATTTTACTCTTGCCTAAGAGTGGATTCAGTCTATATTTCCTTCATTGAATGTTTGAGCCCATTTTGAATGTAGCCAGCCTGGAAGTAGAACAATGAGGATATATTTTTTTTTAAATGTCCATTGAATGCCAAATTTAAATGATATTCTAAAGCCAAATCCCAGCAAGCTTCACCAAAGATAGGCTACTCTTTTTCTTCTTTCAAATTATTTGTCAATCACAAGATGTGCTTCATAAAGAATTCACAAATATTCATAAATGATATGCAAACCAAACAACCACGCAAGAAAGCTTTTCCAAAAGTTCAAGATAATAATTGGGCTAGAAAGATAAGAGACTAATGTAGTTTTGATTCACTGGAATGGAATGGCCATTCCTTAGCCTCCCTATGGATATGACTATATCCATTTGTAATACATTTTTCGTCATCTTTTTAGTGAATCAAATGTGAGAATGAACATCATGATCATTCCATTCCACCTCATTCCAACGAACCAAGCAGAGCATAAGAGAATCTACCTTAGCCATAGTCACAATATCAGGCACAACACCGTGGGCCTCAAATCCCCAAAAGTGGCTACCTGTGCGACCAAAACCTGACTGGACCTCATCAGCAATACAAAGTCCTCCAGCCTTTCTAATGCTGCTATACACAGATGGCAAGTAACCAGCGGCCAACTCTAAAATTCCACCCACTCCCTGTCAACCATTTAACTTCCACTTAGACATGAACAAAAGAATGGTTCACTTCATTAGAATCCAAACTACAAGCAATATAACAAATCCATACATAAACACATGTCCATTTGTGTTATGTATTGTTTGTATGTAATTGACAAGGCACCTGTATAGCTTCTGCAATAAAGCCTCCAACACGACCACAAGTTCCATAAGCAATGACATCTTCAACATCTTTCGCATATTTTGATCCATCCGACCCAAAGACACCTCTGTATTGATCTGGGTTCAGGGCATGGTGAATTCCAGTCTGTGGAGCATTGACATAACATAAAAGAATGAGAAGACAACAGAAAAATAGCATTTTTGCTCAATGGGTCTGTTAATAGAAATTCTTGTTTTCTATAAGTTTAAGGGCTATGGCACTTGGTTTGTGAAATATTATGGAGCAATTTGGTACAGTGATAGAAAACTAATTTGCATATAAGGGATACATCATTGCAATTGTAAAACATCAGGGCCTAGTAATTGTCCATTCACTTAACCAACCAGTGTCGAGCTAATCTTTAAGCTGGAAGTGGGGATTCAAGCCACACCAAGATAGTCTCAGAACCATTATGCAACAATGATATTCTTAAGAATACTACAAGTTGGGTGGAAATAAAAAACAAAACAACAAACAAACAAAAAAAGTAACAGAAAAAAGGGCATTCATCCTACTGCCAACCTTTTCTACACAAAAATCAAGTTGTTGGGTATACATGAATCAAAATCATGAGACTGAGTAATTGGTAAAAAGCTGGAGAGAGTACACTTATAATTGTTTTCTAAATTTTCAAAAACTATTTTCGTGTAAAAATGAAAATGATATGAAAACTACAGGTGCTTTTAAACGTTTCAAATGAAAATTTTGAAAATAATACCAGACAAGGCATAAAAATAAAACTAAACACACAGATAACCATTTGCCCACTTCACCACTACTTCATTCATGTTTATGAAATTATGATATACAGAAGTAGTCCATGAATTATATGGCTGACAATTCCAATTAAGCAACAAAAAAATTTCAAATCAAAGAAAGTATACAGATCTTTGTCCGATTTTTGAGAATACCTGTACAACATTAAATTTATAGTTACATTGAGCAGTAGCACCCATTGTGGCGGCTGCATTCCCATGATAACCATTCCTAATCGAAACAATATCATGGCTGCCCGAATACAACCGAGCCATCATCAAAGCCAGCTCATTGGCTTCAGTCCCAGAATTCGTAAAGAAAACAACCTAAAACAAAATGGAAAATAATTCAGAATTCAAATTAATACCAACATGAAAAGACAAAGAAACAAACAAACAAACAAGAGTAAACCTTGAGATCACCAGGCATCTTGGATGCTAATGCCTCGGCAAATTCGGCAACGGCAGCATTTAAATAGAGGATGGTGGAGTGCTGCAATCGGTTTGTCTGGTTAACAATGGCTTCCACCACATCAGGGTGACAGTGGCCGCAACATACAGTAGCAATTCCTCCGAAGGCGTCCAGGTATCGCCGCCCGTTCTCGTCAAACAAGTACTGCATCTTTCCATCAACCAAATTCAACTGTCCAATCCAACATACATACACAATTATTATTATATAATTCAACAACTTCAGCAGCATTTTCCAATCCAATCCAATCCAATCCACTCATTAATCAACAAAACAAAACAAAAACACAATGATAGCAAATACAGGTTTTGAACGTAGTGCAAAAGGTGCGATCTGATCTTTGACACGTCACCAGATTCAGGAGAGATGGTGATGACGTGGCAAGGTCAGGGAGGCGACTTACGGGATGAGTGTATAAGTGGAAGAAGGAGGGGCTGAGGTAGCGGAGGCGTTTCTTCAGGATCTCGGAGGCAGGGGGTCCGGTGTAAGGAGGGGGAGTGTAGTCGAATTGGGGCATTTTGGGAATTAGGGCGTCGTTGTTTTCCTCAAGTGGAAGAGCCGTGCTTGATGAATGCGCTAGCCTTGGATTGGAATTTGAGAGGCTTTGAAGAAGACGATCATGCCTCTTCAACATTGCTTCTCTTCCCGATACTGCCCTCGCACTCGCTGTTCCCAAAATCTTCTGCATCTTCACGGTTTTCCTTGGGTTTGCCCAGCCGCAGAGAAGAAGAGAAACTAAAACTGTATCACGGTGACGAGGAGAGAGAGAGAGAGAGAGAGAGAGAGAGATGAGTTTATGATGAATATTCAAATAGAGAAGATGAAGACGACATCTGTTCATTGCTCACGTGTTTTATTTCTCTGAGTTGGCTACGTTTTGTTCCTTTCTACGACAGAAATTATTTTCTTGGGAGCATTTAATTTACAAAAAAAAATTAGGTAGTTACGGCACCACTTGGTTGTACCAATCACAAATTCTTATGACCTTTTATATTCTTTAATAATTTAAAATAAAATTATAGATTCTATCCTTTCTATAAAAGATACGTAGGTAGTGCGATCTGATCTTTGACACGTCACCAGATTCAGGAGAGATGGTGATGACGTGGCAAGGTCAGGGAGGCGACTTACGGGATGAGTGTATAAGTGGAAGAAGGAGGGGCTGAGGTAGCGGAGGCGTTTCTTCAGGATCTCGGAGGCAGGGGGTCCGGTGTAAGGAGGGGGAGTGTAGTCGAATTGGGGCATTTTGGGAATTAGGGCGTCGTTGTTTTCCTCAAGTGGAAGAGCCGTGCTTGATGAATGCGCTAGCCTTGGATTGGAATTTGAGAGGCTTTGAAGAAGACGATCATGCCTCTTCAACATTGCTTCTCTTCCCGATACTGCCCTCGCACTCGCTGTTCCCAAAATCTTCTGCATCTTCACGGTTTGCCTTGGGTTTGCCCAGCCGCCGAGAAGAAGAGAAACTAGAACTGTATCACGGTGACGAGGAGAGAGAGAGAGAGAGAGAGAGTGAGAGAGATGAGTTTATGATGAATAATCAAAGAGAGAAGACGAAGACGACATCTGTTCATTGCTGACGTGTTTTATTTCTCTGAGTTGGCTACGTTTTGTTCCTTTCTACGACAGAAATATTTTCTTGGGAGCATTTAATTTACAAAAAAAAATTAGGTAGTTACGGTACCACTTGGTTGTACCAATCAATTCTTATGACCTTTTATATTCTTTAATAATTTAAAAGAAACAAAAATGCTAGAGACTTCAAAAATTTTATTAAAAATTTTACCAAATGTCTCATGGGTGTGGGACCCACATGGACCCACATTGTGTGGGTCCCACACCCATGTGAGACATTTAGTAAAACTTTTAGTAAAATATTTGGGGTCTCTAGCATTACTCTAAAAAAAAATTATAGATTCTATCCTTTCTATCAAAAGACACGTAATGACCAAGGATTATTTAAAAGGATTTAAATAAATATATATTTTTTTATTTTTAAGTATATCTCAAATAAAGTCTAATGGTGGGTTGTTTTGGCAACCCAATTAAAAGTTAATTTTTAGTTTTTAATCTATTTTGGATTATGTAGAGATGTGGTTTGGAAATATTCTTTTGATTTACTGAGGCACTCGAGATCCTCAGCTGATTACCTGAAAAAGGATGAACACTACGGTTGGGGTGTCGGAATCAGCACTCTGACGGATAAGTCAGTATATACTCTCTTGATTGCTTGTATCTTAAGTTAAGAATACTAATTCTCACATGTCTTTCTCTGACTGATGATCCTGTATTTATATTATTCTCTTTGGGCCTTAGGGCCAGGCCTATCCTCGATCCATTACATGTACTTCTACTCGACCTTTATTCTATTGGTTGGAATGTCGATTATTTTATTCGACTCTTCAATTGACTAGGATCAATGTCGAATAAAAGTTATGTCCTGGACTGAACTCTTGTCCATTCGTCCCTATTGACCCATTATGATTCGGCTCCCACAGATTATATTACTTCTTACATTTTTATCTAAAAAAAACAAAATAAAAAAAAAAAGGTCAAAAAAAATTAATTTTTAACTAATTCCAAAATATCCCGGTACCCAACATCAATCAAGAACAGACAACTCACGATACCAAACAAGAAGCCAAATCAACAAAATTTGCAAATAAAAGCATGAGTTACAGAGCCCGGGGAGAGGGAAATTGAATAATAATATCTAGGCCTCCCTAAATTATGTTTAATTATAAAAGATAATGGTATATGTTTTATTAAAGGAGAATATATTATATTATTCTTATTTTATTAAAATATATTCTTAAGATTTATGTTAAATAACCAATTTAGATTTTAATCCAATAACTAATCACCGACTTCTATAAAAACAAGAAAACAAAAAATATATTAAAAATTAATATATTAAAAAATGTACAATTATTTTAAACTCTCTTAACAAGTGCTCTAAAACTACACATTAATGACTATAAAATGAGTGACGAGAGCTTTTACAAATCTCCTATTTTTAATCTTAATCAACTAATAATATCGCATCAAAACACAAACAAACACAATTAACTTTATATTTCCAACCTAATATCATGACACTAGCAATACCATCAATCAATCTCACCATATTCATAATACCAGTCAACCAAAACATGTCCTAATAAGAGATAACATAACTTGAAACAATGTAGACGATGCAGTTATTTTCAAGCACACAACGCACAGCAAGACGACCAAATTGAGGAATAAAGCAATTCATGGACACAACTATAGGAAGCTTACACAGTGATCGGTGTCTGCTCCAATTCTCAACTTCAATTCACAAGAAGCAATACCAAACCATCAAAGTAGCAGAAACAGTAGGAAATTCATCTTCACATATTGCCTTGTAACATGTACAAGAAGTATTCATATTCACAAGAAGCTGTTCAATGAAAACCTAGCAACAGTTCAAAAAAAAAAAAACAATTTGAAAACCTAGCAACAAACAAGTTCCAGAACAATTTTTACATAGGTGAAGGTGACAACAAAGTCTCTAGGAGATGACAATCACAATCCAGTAAAGCAAGAGCTAACGATAGGACCATTTCCACTCATCATTGTCACCGCCACCATCATCATCATAATAATCACCATCACCACCATCATGCCCGCAAATGTAACCTTCGTAGAAGGGATCTGCATCTTCTGACCAGTTTTGGTGTTCTAAATTTTCAGATTTAGAACTGGCACTTGCACTATCAAGTTCTTCTGATTCATCATTGGATTTGGAGGTTCTGCTCCCACCATGCTCATCATCATCTTCAGATGTCTCCTTGTCCGGATAATCATTCAGAGGATTATCTTCAGCTGAGAACCCAAATCCATAAATAAATAAACAAAGGTCTAACAAGAGCATCCAGAATTGCAGTAAAATAATGAAACACAATTAAAATGGATGATACCATTAGAATCATCACTTTCATTATCAGATGTAATTGGGCCATCATAGAATTCATCGTCGTCATCAACCTGTACCCTACACCAAAGACAATTACAAGTTGTATATTTACCCCCACCAAAAAAAGAAAAACATAGGAGTGCAATAAAGTCATCAACATACAACAGAAATCCTTACAAAGGAAATGGGTTTGAAGCATCTTCCTCACTTGTGTTGACGTCATCCGTTACAGTATACAAATCATACACATAGTCATCCTTGGATGCTACATGACAATAGAACCCATCAAAACATTGTGGAACACCATGAAATGACAATAAATGGTGAAAGCAGAATTTCATCGTCAAGAATGGTAATCACAATCCCTCTATTATTTATTCATGAAAATTTAGAGCAGTTTTATAACAACAGCCCTGAAGACAGGAAGACGGGGAAAAAATATCATGCCTTCAACCAAAAAAATATAAAACAAAAACAGCATAATATGGAGCAAGACCTCATTGGGACATGTAATCACAAATATTAGAGGCAGGTGGAGCTAAATGCATCAACCAAAAAACTAAAATCTAAACAAAAACAAACAACAAAAACAAAAAGTGCATAATATGGAGTAAGACCTTGTTTGGACACATAATCATGAATATCAGACTCAATTTCCGCAGCAGCACTTGGGATGAACTCTCGTAACAGAGGCAGATAACTAGACATAATCCTATGATCCTCAAAATCCGTATCTCTGTATCAGAATTTAAAGGAACTGAATCAGATTCAGAGTTCTGCATTAAAAGATAATGTTCCAAACTACATTATAATGAAACTTACTCCTGCTCATTCGCTTCAATGGTTGTGTCCACAACATCAACACGAACAACATCGTAAACAACACACATTTCATGCAGTGCACCATCATCACGCATTGCATCTTTTTCCCCCTTTCTCGTCCTCCATATTTGTTCAAAACGCGCATTGTTTGACAAAACCTGATCAGAACAAAGAATACAGAATAATTTTTATGCAGCATATATGATGTAGTCATCTACAACCAAAAAGAACATGACAATTAAACATACAACTGCAAAGCATGACCAACAAAGCATTTGCATTTTTAACTATTAATCGACCAAGGTTACTTCATGCACATTGCTCTTGGGAAGATTTAATCAATTGCATAGAAGAATATGATATTGAGATCCATACAGTAGTAAATTCATAAATGATTGTGTTCAAGCAACAGCATAACGAGGAACCAACAAAACAATGTTGCACTTCATGATGACTTCAAAGAGTGACCCCACTCTAGTGTCTGGATGCATATAAAATAACACAAACTGAGAAACCACAATTTCCATAAATAAACTAAATAAAAGCTTGGCAAATTTTTTTCTTATGTGTAATTACAAAAATCACAACACCATACGGGAGTCAAACACAAGATCGTATCTGGTTTGTTCATCTTCACATTCCACGGATACATTCATCCTCCACTTTTTTAAAAAGGATTTATGTTTTTTCACATTTTATCGATACTTTCCTTTCATTTTTTCTGAAAAGCAAGCAACACTGTAGTTTAATAGAACTTGAACGGGAAGGAAATTCACATCATTGGAGGACGAAACAAAACACAATATATCTTACAAATAAATAATGCATAATCTTAATGTAGAAAGAAAATACAACTTCAAATAACAACGGAAAAGTTAGAAATGTAACCATTGTCAAACTTTTTTCTTTTTTAGTCTTGACAAACAAGGTAATTGAACCACATGCAAATCAAACTAAAAATCAATATAATCATCAGAAGAAAAGAAGGCATCAACTTCTTTGTGAAACAATGAGCAAAATTAGAAGAGGGAGATAAATGGGGAAGAGGGCCAAAAAACATTGATGTAAACTAAGAATAACCAAATAGAAAAAAAAATCCCAGGCATTACTCAGAATAACCAAAAAAAAGTAACATGTAAAAATAAGACAAAAAGAACATTGATGTAAACATGGCAGTTAATACCAAATTCGGCCAAAGTAAATCAGTAGTGGTAAAAGCTATCATCTATATACCTCGTGCTTTTGTTTGGCTTTAACCAGCAACTGATCTTGTTTCTGCAACCAGAAAAAAAATTGCATTAAAAATGCTGATATGTCAGTTGCAAGAAGTATGTGGAAATTTCAATCATATTTAAAGCAGCTAACTATGCGTGAGTGTGTCACCAAAAAGGTAAAATTACAAACATAGCAACTATCTAACTATCACATTTCTATTAACTTTCTTTTCAAAACTAGATGCTGTTCTATCAAACAATTTTAATGCAATACATTAATATTTATAATAATAATAATAATAATAATAATAATAATAATAATAAGGATCACTTAAAAATTATACTAGATAACGTCTTACCATAGCAAATAATGTGTTAAGGCAGACAGAGAGAAAGAGGTCTTACATTCTCTGTCTTAAAAGTACGTCTTAGTTCCTTGTTTTTTGCCTTACTTTCATTTCCATCCACAGATTTAGGCTGCTTAAGAAACACCAAATCATCATTACCTTAAAATCAGGTTCTTTGAAGGATTACACAAGAGAATGACTACCCACTCACAGAAAGCAAATCAATTCCAGAAGCATGCCTAAAACATCAAAACAAGCAACACATATGGACCAGCAATCTTACCTCAAATAACTTCAAAAAATTAAAATTGATGGTATCCTCAGAGCTGCTTAATGTCTCTACATGTTGCACAAAAACCTTTTTGGGTTTCAATGCCTCTACTGCAAAATGTGGGCATTGTTTAGATAGAGCTATTTTTTTTATGTTTTTTTTATAAATGAACAAGGCAATTGACCATAAGTGGAAAGTTAAATAACTTCATAATCTATATTTTGCAATAGATAATGGGCAGGGTCAATCTTTTCATTTATTGGTCTGGCTACTAGATTGACAATGAAGCTAACTACACATATACTACCTAAACACAAATTCCCAGTAAACACACAGAGCAGAACCCAATACACCTTTTGGTCTAAAACTAAAATACAAGGCCAAAAGTGCATATATAGAATGAGATGGTACCTTTTCCAGAAGAATCAGAGATTGAAAGCTTCTCAAAGTCAAGCAATGGCCGCTTCAATGGTCTCTCGTTGATTTCAAGCCCTAAGAAGCACGAGGTCCGCCAGAATCAAAACCAAATTTTGATTTCATAATGAAACAATGAGTAAAAAAAATAGGAAAATAGAAATAAAAACCAGTAGAAACCCCCATTAAAATAACTCACATAAAGCTTCGAGGGGCGAATGGGAAGCTTTGCGTTTAACCCTAACAATCACCGGCTTGTCGTCCTTGGGCAGAACAGAAGAGCTTGAGGCAATATCAGCCATTGATGCTACGAACCCTAAAATAATAGATTAGGGTTAGAATTAGGTTTCTATTTCACTCGAAATGCACTCTCTCGTCTCGTGGACGAAGACTTACATCACCTGGTTTTCGGGTCGGACTGTGTTGGCCAAATCTAGCCCAATATAGCATGATATGATTGCAAAATGATACTATACTATAATGGGTTGAATTTAATTCGAATCCAACCTGAAAATCCAAATCCATTTATACTGTGCCGTTGAGGGATTTGGAAAGATTAATGAAAAAGGTAGATAAAATGTTAATGAAATATAATTATATTTCACCTAGGTTCACACATAGTTGTCAAATCGAGATTTGAATTGTGAATCGAAATGGCCATGTACCGAATCGCGAATCGAATCGAATCGTGAATCGTAAAGATTCACTTACGTTTTCTAAATTACATAAAAAAAACATATTTATACACTTAAATATTATAAATATGAAATATTTAGATTTAAAGTAATAAAAATGTTACTTTACATGATGATCACGTGGTCTAAATAGGTAAGACGCTTCTACGGCAAGAGATGTGGGTCCGAGCCCCACCGTGATCTATGATCCTATATTATATTTATGTATTTATGATATAATTTATGTAAATTCACATCATAACATATATGTATGGCAATTCACATTCATTATGAATAAGGTTCACAACTTAACAAGTTCTAAACTTTTCAAAACTCTAATCTATACTTGTAAAGTAACTTGTGTCAAAAAGAGACCATACAAAACAAAAGTTAGATTAGACAAAGTTAAAAATTCCAAAAAGTCTTCATTTCTTCATTTCAATCTTTCATCATCTCCAAGGTCAATATCATCTTCATCATCATCTACCATAATCACTTCATCAAACTCTTCTTCCTCTTCCTCTTCCCCACCTTCAATCAATTCAACTTCATCATCATCTTCAAATACTTTTCTTTTTCCTCTATCGATGGCATTTAAATTTCTTGGTCCTACATTAATAAAATTAAATAAGGTTATGAATGAGCAAGTAAATGTGAAAATATAGAAACTAAATCTTTGAAATTAACTTATTTAAAAATTAAAATATAGAATTATACCTCTTTTTCTCTTTTTGCTAGTTGTTCCTTCATCATCTTCGAAACACTCTTGGATGTCCATCCATGAATGATCTTCGGGTAGACATGGATCTTCTTTCTCGGTAATCCATTCATCATCGGATTCCATATCCGATAAATAAATAGGATCATAAGTCTCACCCCTTTCTTGTCTCTTAATTTGCCTCAACTCAAGTTGAATGTTATACTTCACAAAAACCAAAGCATTCAACCGTTGTTGCTCCAACCGGTTTCTTTTCTTCGAGTGCACATGATCAAAAGTGCTCCAATTTCTCTCACACCCGGTGGCACTACAAGTAAGACTTAGCACTCTAATAGCTAGCTTTTGAAGCTCTTTGCACTCTTCTTCGTAACTTTCCCACTATACAGCTGTAATTAAATGATAAAGAGATGTTAGAGAATAATGCATGCCATTGCCAACATAATTGCTGTGAAATTGTGAATATATAATTTCATAATAAAAAATTTTACCGGGTTGTTTCTTTTCCCTTGTCAAGATGGCCATGGTCATACCAAACATACCCTCGGCCTTCTTGAACTTTTCTAATTGCTCATCAACCTTCACTATATCCTCTATATCCGGATACATCCTTTCAATGGTTTTAAATAAACCAATTTTCACCTCCGTATCCGCATTGAAGTTTTCTTGATAATGAAACCTAGAAAGAAAGATAAATTCATAAATAAATTCCATTACATATTTTGTATATAAGTCACACAACACAACACAAATAATTTGACAAAAATAGAAAAAAACTTACATCGGATTAAGGTAATATGCCGCCGCATGCAAAGGCCTATGGAGTTGTAAATTCCATCTAGTATCAATAATTTCCCAAATGCGCTTATATCTACCTCGCACATGGTTCAAGTTTGAAGCAATTTCTTCCTTCGCTCTATCCACAGCTTCATAAATAAATCCCATTGCCGGCTTTGCATCACCATCCACAAGCCTCAAAATTTTCACCAAAGGGAGCACACACTTCAAGCAATACTTGATTGCTTTCCAAAATCTAGCATCTCCCAAGATTGTTCCTTGTGCCTTTTTTGCATTAACAGATGTAGAATAGCTACTTCTAGCCCACTCTTCTGATGCAAACATAGCTCTAAGTTGGAGCTTTCTATCTTGGAAACTTTTTAAAGTAAGGAAGGCGGCGGCAAATCTAGTAACCGCGGGTCTTGTCAACTCCCTATTCTTTGTAAATTTTCTGAACAAATCAAGCACCCAAGCATGCCTATAAATGTACACAGCGATTTCCTTGGCTTTAATTATTGTATCTTTGAAAACCGTCAACTCACCTATGTCACTCAACATTAAGTCAAGGCAATGTGCCGCACATGGGGACCAAAACAATTTAGTCCTCTTCTCTTCCAATAATCTACCGGCACCCACATACGCCAATGCACTATCAGTTTCCACTTGAACAAAATTTTCTTCACCAATTTCATTCACAATGGTCCTGTTTGGTAGAGCTGTGGGAAAGTGCTTATAGCTTATGCCTAAACAGCTTATAGCTTATAACTTTCAGCTTAAGCTGATTTCCAGCTTATTCTTAAAGCATCTCCTGCCCCACTCAAAGAATAAGCTGATTTCTGACTTCCACAAAGCTATAAGGTATAAGGTATAAGCTAAACCAAACACATCAAAATAGCTTAAATTAAGCTGAAAGCTGAAATAAGCTGTAAATAATTTCTGCCAAACAGGCACAATGTCATCAAGCATCTCAAACAATATCATAGAATTTTTAATTACACCAGAGATGTCTATTGATTTAATAAACACCGTTCCACTTGGACTATTAACAAGGAAATTAGTAAGAGAGCGAGACTTTCCATCGGTCCATCCATCAAACATTATAGTGCAACCCGTCTTCTTCCATTCTTTTCTATACACCTCTAAATTTGCATTCACATTATCAACCTCTTTTTTCAAAAAAGATACTCTCACTTCATAATAACTTGGTGGTTTCAATCCCACACCATACTCACCAACCGACTTCAACATCTTCTTAAACAAGGAACTTTTCACTAAATTAAAAGCCAATGCATGCCCATAAATGACTACAAATATCTCTAATCACGGGCTCCCTTTGCTTTATCATTTGATTCAAAGTTTGTTGCTTTGCCCTCCCCTTTGTGACATATGCATCCATAGTTCCCCCTTTACTTTTCCCCTCAATATTTTTTTCTTCAAAACGATCAACATCTATAATGTTGTCTTGTTTTTTTCCACTTAAGAGTTGTAAAAACATATTCATAACATCTTCAGAAACTTGAGTACAAGCACCAACATTATCATGAGTTCCGGCTAAATGATTTTTCATTCGAATCACTCCACCCCAATAATCTTTTCCACAATAATTACATCTCAAATACATTCTATTATCATCTTTGATACGGGTACAATGGTCTCATGTTCGATCTTGTTTTCCACTTTTTTTTTTGCTTTTCATATTTTTTTTATCCATTAAAAAAAACAAAATATTTTTTTAATATCCCACCCACACAGCAGATTCTTCAATGCTTCTACAGTCCACACAATAGACAATAATAAAGTAATGGATAATGGACAATAAAGTAATGGAAAAGGAGACTAAAGTAATATAGTATTTTATATTCCCTATTTGAAGTTTGTCTGGTAGTGTACTATCTCAAACAAAATTGCAGGTGCAAGAAGAGACGACCAAACAACAGCAAGGGACCACGAAGCTCTGTGTCGAGGGCCACAAAGACTATACGAAGGGCCACGAAGCAGATTCCAGCAGCAAGGGACCACCAAACATTGCGAAGAGGAACCACGAAGCTCTGCGTCGAACAGAGAGGTGAATCTTTCTAGGGTTTTGTCTGTTGGAAGTAAAAAGGGATCATGGGTTACCTTGGGTGGACTGTCGTTTGGTCTTAAAAGACCAGGCGACCCATCTTGTGCCAAGAAAAAGCAAAAAAATTGGCCCAAAAAATTATTTTTTTCCATTCGAGTCCGAGAAACTGGGGCGACCCGCGATAGTAACGAATCGTGTGATTCAGCAATTCTTTGATTCGTATCGTGAATCGATCGATTCAGATGCAATTCTGCACCATTTCCGATTCCATGTACCTATTCAAATCGATTTCTATGTGTATCGAACCGAATCGTACGATTCGAATCGCGAATCGTACGATTCTAACAACAGAGGGTTCACATATCATTTTTGCTTTCTAAATCCCTCCCTAAATCTCTCAACCAAATATAGTGTTATAGAAAATTTTGAATCCATTTATTTCGTTTAGATTGGATATGCAAAAATCGGATCCGATCTAGTCTGATTATTCTCATTTTAATGAAGAAAACCAAAATTGGAAAAAAAAAATCAAATTATATTAATTGTAGCTCAAAAAATAAAAAATAAATTGATCAAATTGGATTATCGGATCTGATATCTGAAATAATTGGATTCAAGTTCACATGATCAATAATCGGATATGGAATAAACTGATTCCGCTTGAATTTGGGTTTGTCTTAATCTGTTTGGCTTTGAATTTTGACAGCTTCAACCTGAATCCGATTCATTTACAGTCTTACTGTTTATGATTCATTAGGTATTTGTTAAGAGTTAAATAACGTTAGAAAAATTAAAAAATAAAAAATATTGCTACATATATTCAACATTATTGAAATATATCAAACTCAGCGTGCTATTATGGTTCTTTTGAATCAATATGAACACTAGTAATAGATAAGTGAAATGATTAAACTGGGTGAGGGATAAGATTAATTCCATGAGTTATATTGGGGATTTTAAATAATTTATTAAATTTTTTATCAAATCTCTCACATAGATGTGAGACTCGCACATATGTAAATTTGTATGAGATTCAGACATATATGAAAGGTTTTATAAAAAATTTAGTAAATTATTTAAGATTCATAATATTTTCCTAATTCTACCTCTCTCTTTTTATACTTAATTAAGTCATTAATTGAGAGGACTACATACAATATAATACAATAATGATATTGAGAGGGAGATTTCATAATCTAGCTTTGGGCCACGATAATGACCAGGCTAAAATTGGTCCGAGCATGTTTGGGCCGAGCTGGGCTGGGCCAATCCAGGGCCAGTTCGCTCGGTTAAACCCCAGAGTCGAGGTACTTGCTGTTGGAAAAACTAGCTTTGGCGTTAATGATGGCCTCCAAGAAATTGGCGCACTATTTTCATGCTCACACAATCGTGGTGTTGACCGAATTCCCTCTGAAAACATTATTTGATCCGGCGGATTTCTCCGGCCGAATTCTGAAGTGGGCAGTCGAATTAGGGAAATTTGACATTAAGTTTCAACCCCAAACCGCCATTAAAGCCCAAGCATTGGCCGACTTTGTTGCTAAATTCTCGCCTAGAATTCACCCGGTATGCCCGATGGATCTTACCGCGACAGCCGGGGTGAATGAAGTAAGCGCAATGAAAATTGCACAACAGAGTGATGTTGGCGACACGGAACTTGCGCGCCCGTCCACAAATCCTTCAGTTGGAGGTGCACTTCAGCCCGGCAATACGACGTTGGATTTGGGAATAATAGGTCAACTTGTTGGATCCAGTGCTGCATCGCCGAGAGGGGATGATGACGCGTCTGTTGAAATCATTAGCAGCAAGCTTGTAACAGAAATAGCCGAGTAGTCAAGCAACCGTGATCACCTCAACCTTCAAACCTTCGAGGATCCCTCAGAATGTTGGAAACTTTTCATTGGTGAAATGTGGAAACTTTTTGTAGATGGCGCGCTAGACATAGTTTTGATCTCGCTGGACGGTCTAACCATCGAACACTCTATCACGCTTGGATTTCTAGCATCAAACATCGAACACTCTATAGTTAGATAGTTAGATAGTTGCTATGTTTGTAATTTTACCTTTTTGGTGACACACTCACGCATAGTTAGCTGCTTATACTCACTCCTACTGAGTATAAACAAACACACATTGCCATGCTGTGTAACATCATAGAAACTACAATGTAATTAGGGTTAAAACTAATACCTATTGACAATCCTCAAAAACAATAAGAAACCAATGATTCATATATATATATAGCAGGTCATTCTGCCCATCAATAATTGAATTTGTTTCTATATGTGTGTGTGTGTGTATATATATATAGAGAGAGAGAGAGAAGACATACAGAGTTCTCTCTGATGCTGCTTGAGAGACAATGGTTACTATTGCCCAAATTTATGAGAATGTTGGGCTACAGATAAAGCAAACAAGGAATGATGAAGAAGTAGACCAAAATGAAAAAGAAAAAGGAGAAGGAGAAGAGAATTGCAACAAAAACCAAAAAGAATTTTATGAGAGAGAGGGAGACAAACCCAAAATACTCCTTAAAATAAAATAAAAAATCAAAAAATCAAACAGAGCATCAGACTTGTGTATATACTAGAATTACAAATAGAAGAATTACCAGAAACAAAGGAGGAAGAAGGAATATAATCACAAACAAGCTCACACTAGTCTCTCTCTCTCTCTCTCTCTCTCTCTCTCTCTCTCTCTCTCTATTCTGTCTGTTGAAATTTCACACACCTAACAGAACCCACTGGAGAAACAAATCATGATGAACCCACTGGAGAAACAAATCATGATGAAACCCCCTAGTCATATTGTATAGAAGCAGACCTCACGTAGATCTCCATAACACGGTGCCTTTGTTGGACCAAGGAAGAAAAAGAACCATAAATGTAAATCTACAGATTAGCTAACCAATCTTTGTTCCATATCATGATCAAGATCAAAATTCAAAGCATCCAGAAGATTAGAGCGACTCCTAATCCAACTGATTATCAATATAAAATAGATCGAAATCTGGGAAAACAGATCTATATTGTAAAAAATATAAAATAGATTCAAAGACAAAAAAAACAGATTCAAAGACTCCTAATCCAGCTGAAGAAGGTTCAATATAAAATAGATTCAAAAAAACACAGATCTATATATATCCAGGGACAGATCTATAAAATAGATTAAAAAAAAACAGATCTATAAAATAGATTCAAAAAAAACACAAATCCAGCTGAGAGAGAGATACCTAAACAGAGATGGGAGGCGCGGTGGTGACGGAGGGAGGATCGTCGGTGACGGAGGGAGGATCGCCGGTGACGGAGGGAGGCGCGGCGGTGACGGAGGGAAGAGAGAGGGACAGACCAGTTGCGAGAGAGAGAGAGAGAGAGAGAGAGAGAGGAGCGGCGTGAGTGTGAGAGGCTTTGAGTGTGTGTGTCTGTGAAACCCTAACAAAGACAAGCATATGCATATATAATAGCTAGGGACAAAAGGGTCATTTTACCTTGGGGACCATGCTGGGCGGGGCGGGTCCGGTTCTGAAACACATATCCCCAGCCTGGATATCATCGGGGATAAATTTTTGAATACCGTCCCTGGCTCGTAGGGGATATTTTTTGGTGAATAACCGCTGAATTCGGGATGGGGGGTTGGGTCACCGTCGGGCCAGTTTCAGATTGTCATCCCTAGTTGTTTGTTTGATTTTGATTTTGGTTTTAGTTTGGTTTTGGTTTCGGTTTAGTGAGATTTATGTGTTTGTTTATAGATTTGCACGGTGGAGAAGAATTATTGGTGATTATAATTGTAATCGAAATATCTATGTCTGTTCTGTGCTAAGAATTTTAATTGGATTTTGTTTTCTTCAGTGAAGACCATAAAAGTTGAAGTAAAAAAAATGGGTATCAATTTTTTTTTTTTTATTGTCATTTTATTTTATAAAAATTGTGAAAATTTATTAAGAATTCAAGATTTTACTATAACATTAGATAAATTTAAAACTTTTAAATATCATTGTATTATTTATTTTTATCCTCTTTCTATCTCATTATACACTTACAACTATTTATTAGTTTGTTAATTAATTGAAAATGAAAACTTAATATAACTTTTCATATATATTATAGTTAATTTGCTACAACTATATATATATATATTACAACTATAGTTATATATAATAGCATAATATATAGGGATAATCTTTAAATAAAATTTATATTTTTTTGTGTGATTAAATAGTCTATTAAATAGTATATAGAAGAGTATCTGGCTTCTTTTATCTCTAAAAAATTCAATCTATTTTTTTTTTTACTTTTTAATTTTTAAATTGAAACATCAATTGTTTATGTCCATAAAAAAAAATTGATAAACACATATCCAAAAGCTACACTTTTTTTAATTTTTTTTAAAATGTAAGATATTTACAAATGGAAAATGTTTTGACACCTCAATTTTTTTTTTCCCATAATTTGACTTATAATGATATAGTCATAAGTGTCAATTTTTATATAAACATGAGAAGAGAATTAATTAAATTATACATTTCAACCAATCACATACTCAATTTTTGACTATTTTAAGATGTTATTTTACTATAATTCTAATTAAGAGAATCTTCAACACTGAATATTTTTTTTGGGTCAAATTATAATTTGATAAAAATTAAAAAAAGATGAAATGTTGAAAATTATTGTTTTTACCATCAAAACTGGTGAAAAGAAAAAAAATTTGGGATAAGAATGAAATTCATTTAAAAATTGATAAAAATTTAATGAAAAAGTTAAAGTAATTAATATAAAATCAAAAAATTTGTTCAAATTTAAAATCAAATTAGATAAATAAAAAAAAAGGAAAATGATGAAAGTTTGAAAATATTTTGAAAGCTTCTTATTCTTAAAAGCTAGAAATTTATGTGTGTATTCTATTCATATTGTATTTTTAGTTATGAAATTGAAATGAAAAGAAATTTAACTTAAATTATTAGATTAATAATAGAAATATCATATTAATTATTGTTAAATATCACTTCACTTCACATTTAATAATAAAATTATATACTCCGAAACCGGCCTTCTCAGAACATACTGTGACCGGACTAACTCTGAGACCGGCCTAACCGTAAGTTGCCTAAAGACCGGAGTAGTTTTACTCTTCCTTGGGCCGAGGTAACTTTGTCTTCCCAAGGCCGGAGTAAATTTGCCCTTCTGGGCCGGAGTATCTATTGTGGCCTTCTTACTTAGTACTTCGCGTTTTGGGCCTCAATGCCCAACTCGCGGCTCGGCCCAATTTTTCCCAAAAATTACCCTCTCATATACCACATAACAAAATATTTAATTATTTCAAAATAATTATAATAATATTTTTTAATTTATAAAATCTTGTGCATCGAACGGGTTACCACTAGTAAACTCATACATGAAGACCATTAAAGGTAAAGGAGGTGGTGGTGGCCATTAAAACACCCCATTTTTTGGAAAAATTATTCAATAATTATAGAATATCATATGATCATATTTTAAATCAATCACTAATTATTTAACCCCATATTATTCTCCATCCCTAATATAAATCGTGGACTCACAAAATTTTATGTATACGTGTCTATATTTAAAAAATATTGAATATTACTACTCACACATCGAATGGCTCTTCAATGGCTGAGCTTGGAGGTGCTATTTGGCTTTAATCCATAAACAGCACAAACTCAAAACTTCCCAGCTTACTCATCTCGGCTCAAGCGACTCCTCATTTTCTTTGATCACGATTAATATTTATAATTCAAAACAAATATTATATATAATCTTATTTTTTAATACAACATTTTTCAAAATTCAAACACAACTAATTATTCACATAAATTTCACAATGGTTTGGGATTCTTTATCCCCAAATTGTTATTTTTTTCATCTAAAACATTCGTAATTATTGAATTATATGCCCACATTATTGTACCTTTGCGACAAGAGATTATTTGGCAGTCTTGAAATAATATTTCAAACCATTCACCTTATGATATTTATTGTGTTATCTCTTAAATGTAAAATGAAATTAAAACACTGCATATATATTTACTTTAGGGTCAATAAATTGTCGTTTGGCAAGTAGATTGGCTTTTAGTTGGAACTGAAAAAGTACAAAACAATAGACTAAGGTCTCATTTGGGGAGTAACTATTTTACTTAAAAAGTCATTATAAGTTGTCACATCACTATTTTTTTTTTCATATCTTTTCGTAAAAAGTCAAAAAATTATTAAAATAAACAAAATATCATATCCAAATCATAATCATTTCATTTTTTCTTTCACAAAAAAATCACAAAAGTTTTTTTCCAAACGGATTTGATTTAGTAAATTAATCAAAAAGCTAAAAAATTAGGCTAAAAAAGTTCTTTCCAAACCAATCCTAGCCAAAACATCCCTATTGGACCATTGTTTGGTAAGAAGAACAACCCAATTTATTTTGCTTCATAAACTTTTTAAGGAGGAGGCGTATAATTGAGTAAGGACGGTAAAATTTATTTATTTATTTATTCTTGGATAATATTGCCCATGCATATATATATATATATATATATATCACAAAACTCTTTTGACGAAGAATACTTTTATTTTATTTTATATAAATCTTAAAATGTTGTGTATATGTATTTTTGATTGGTTCATTTAGTATGTATTTTGTTTTTTGTAACAGTAAAATACTATTGTGAATCAGAGTAATATGTTACTGTACGTTAATTTTAATGATATTTTTTATTTTTTATTTTTTAAGAATTTCATAATCTAACATGAATCTTATTTGATAGATTTTAATGAGAGAATTTTAAAAATATTATTTTTATTAAAAAATCGACATTTAGATTAAAAGTTATATTATTTTAAAGTTTAAAATTTTAATTTATTTGCTAAGTATATTTTCGTAATAGTGATATGTGTTAGATTTTTTAAGAATATTTTTTTGTACTTATCTTTAATGTATTAAATTTTTATTATAAGAAAATTTTGACCAAATTTTCAAAATTGTTTTCCTATATTAAAAGACAAAAAAGAAAAAGAAGAAAGGGAATTAAAATCCTTGACCCGATATAATGTGATTCCAAATTATTATGCCTTTAAAACAGAAAAATTAAATAAATAAATAAATTGTGTACAGAGATCCCTGGCCGCTCACAATCGTAATACACATGTTCACATAAAGAGTACTTACATGTAACTCTTAATAAATGGACTTATTATTTAATAGGTACTATGAAAAAATTTATCATAAAAAAAAATTACTAATTGTAAGTTTTAACGACAATTTATAAAATCATAACAAAAAAATCACTAATTGTCAATTTTTAGCGACATGTGTAAAAAAATTATCACAAAAAAATTATTTTTAACCACAATTTTATCAAAACTTATTTTCAATAAAAGTTGACAGAAATTAAGTTTAACTATTAGGACCTATTGATAGTTTATCCTTCACGATAACTCATACACATGAAGACCTTAATGGTTAAATTAAAGGCGTACAAAAAAATATTTTAGTTAAAAAGTCATTATAAGTTATCACATCACTATTTTTATTTTTTTCACATCTTTTCGTAAAAAGTTAAAAAATTACTAAAATAAACAAAATATCATATCCAAATCATAATCATTTCATTTTTTCTTTCACAAAAAAATCACAAAAGTTTTTTTCCAAACGGATTTGATTTAGTAAATTAATCAAAAAGCTAAAAAATTAGGCTAAAAAAGTTCTTTCCAAACCAATCCTAGCCAAAACATCCCTATTGGACCATTGTTTGGTAAGAAGAACAACCCAATTTATTTTGCTTCATAAACTTTTTAAGGAGGAGGCGTATAATTGAGTAAGGACGGTAAAATTTATTTATTTATTTATTCTTGGATAATATTGCCCATGCATATATATATATATATATATATATCACAAAACTCTTTTGACGAAGAATACTTTTATTTTATTTTATATAAATTTTAAAATGTTGTGTATATGTATTTTTGATTGGTTCATTTACTATGTATTTTGTTTTTTGTAACAGTAAAATACTATTGTGAATCAGAGTAATATGTTACTGTTTACGTTAATTTTAATGATATTTTTTTATTTTTTATTTTTTAAGAATTTCATAATCAACATGAATCTTATTTGATAGATTTTAATGAGAGAATTTTAAAAATATTATTTTTATTAAAAAATCGACATTTAGATTAAAAGTTATATTATTTTAAAGTTTAAAATTTTAAATTATTTGCTAAGTATATTTTCGTAATA